GTCCGCCATTACCTGCGTCTTCATCGTCTCTTTTCCTTTTTTCTGTCAGGTTGTCATCCTTTTGATTGATTTCCTCTTCGGTACCGATGAACTGATCGGCTAGCTTGAGGAATTCGGTGATGTCCTTTGGTTTATTGGCCACCACATGCCATTTAAATTCCCTGTGGGTTATTCCTTTCTTAGCTGCCGTGAGTCTTACAGCCGGGTCTAGGTCTAGTATCTGTAGGTAGGTGTCGTTGAAGCGCTTAATGTAGCTTCTGATCGACTCTCCTTCTCTCTAAACTACGTTGAGAAGGCTTTCCTGTGACTTCAGGCACTTCTTGCTGGTGATGAAGTGCGCGGTAAATAAATCTGTGAACTGCGACCAGCTTTTGATCATTCCCGGCGCGAGGTTCCGGTACCAGGTCCGAACTACCCCTTTAAAGGTAGTGGAGAAAGCCACACACATACAATACTCATCAGCCCCAGCTAGGTGCATCTGGGACTGGAAAGAGTCTACATGGTCATTAGGATCAAAGGACCCGTCGTACTTGTCTAAGGGAGGCATCTTGAAGTCTTTAGGCATCGGGGTTGCCAAGCTCGCTTCTTCCTTACCTTTGGCTTGCCCTTCTTGTTGACTCGGCTTTTCTAGCTGGCTGTTCTGAGCCGAGGTACGGCATGCCTTGTGACATCTTCATTGTTATTTCTTTACTGGCTCAACATTGGTGCTGCTGATTTCGGTGTGCTCCGGTACCGCTCTGTCGCGAGGTAACTCCTGGTTCTTTGTGGGATTTTGGGGCTGGTTATCACGGACGGAGAGGCCCAGTTTCAAGTTCGCACCTCGAACCCCGAACTGGTTACCTGCTAGCGAACCGTCATTTTCCTGCTGTGAATGCCGAGGAAGATTGGTCCTGTGAGGCTTAGTATCCCCGAACCTGTTTTCGAGGTTCCCTTGTGAGGCAGATGGAGTAAGTTGACCGTCTCTTCTCCCACGGGGTGAGACTTGACTCCTGGGAGGAATCAGGACTTGGGAGGTCTCTTCACCCCGGTGGGGAGATCGACTGATATTCTAGTTGATCTGTGGCCGGTTCTGACTCTGATGGGCCCCTAGGTGCCGAGGTGGAACCAACTACTGGTTCTGCGACAGTGGAGGGAACTGATGCTGGTACTGCTGGTGGAAGAAATACTGTTGGTACTGTTGAAATTGCTGAACCTACTGCATCTGGATCTGGATAGCTCGGACGCACTGAACTAGGTCGTTGAACTGGGACTACCTGACCCCTGGGGGAACCACAGAAGGCTAAAAAAAAGTTGTCTACCAAGGGAAGTGGGACGCTCACCTGTGTGGTGTTTGGTGGCACGGTCAGCGTTGAAACTCCAGACGCAGTAAGCGGGATGGTGAACTGGCCGATGCACACCGTAGGGAGTTGGGGTTGTCCCCTGGAGACGTTCATCTCGCTACTTTTCCCGGCATGACTGGAAGATGCCATTGTCATAGAAATGAAGTTGGTAACTGTAAAGAATGGAGATGACTTTTCGGTCATTTCCCACAGACGGCACCAATTGATGTTGCACGATCTAACTACTCCCAGTTGGAGGGTGATCTGGCTTCCAATCGAGCAGCGAGCTGGATCAATCTGCAAGACGATGGATCAGATAGCTCGAGGTGGTTAACCCGGTGAGGTTGCTCTGATGCTTAAGTTAGTATATGCGAGCTGAATGCTTTGAGAATTTGAGAGCTTGAGAGCTAGAGAGTAGAGTAATCACGTGTACCTGGGCCCTGGAGGGGTTGTTGCTCTTATATACCTAAGCTGCCGTGGGTTTCGCGAAATGGTTCCGAGATCTTCGGCTTGAGTGGATGAGATCCGTTTCCGCTTTAGTCGGGGAGTAACGTATCAGTCAATGAAGTCTATCGTTTCCGCCTGATGCGGGCAGGGAGAGGATAAGGCCTGTCGTTACGCGGCGTGATCCCGTGAGGTTCAGAGTCTACTACAAAAACTTTTAGAGTCGTTACATAGTGATTCGGGTTGCTACCCCCGAGCTGATACTTCAGTTCTTTAGCTCCGAACTGGATTGAATGCCGAGGTGCCTTGATGCTGAGGTGAGTCTATGCCGAGGTGACCGAACACCCGAGCTTAAACATTGCGAACTAAGCTTGCGCTATCATCCCTTAGTCAGATCGTGTCCACGTGTTCGCTTCTCGCTAGGTCACGCCAAATCACCCTTCATCAGAAGTCAAATCTTGCTGCCATCGCAGTGTTCTTCTTTAGAAAGAGGTGCAAAGGCGAAGGGATTGGTACTTGGGGGTTTGATCTCAAAAAACTCTCCGACAGCTTGAGAACCTACTAATGTTTTCCTTGTTTTCCATGGCGAAGCTTTCTAATTTGTAGAAGAGAAAAGGGGAGAGGGAATCAAAGAAAGGAAGAGCTCGAGAGTTAGCTTGTGTTTTCTGGTAAGAGCAAGTTCGGCTTTTATAAGCTAATTGGCTATGGGAAATTGAGAATTAAGTATAGACTTTCAGGCTAAATTAATATATTTTCAGCCATGATTGGCCAATGGTATATGAGTAGTATATCTTTGTAATATTCATTATTAATGAGACGGGATCTGCTCTTCACGTCTGGCGCTCATACGCACATCTTATCATTTATTGGTAACATCTCCGGTACTTATTAATAATGTTTCCAATGCACAGTGGAAGCGCCCATTTGTGAGGATCCCTTCACTATTATATTTTCAACAAAGTTGCCATATTTATCTCAAAACATTTATCAATCATTTCTACATAAAGGGCACTTCAAATATATACACACCAGTCATACATAGACAGAAAGGCACCTTTACCGGATGGGTGTCCCACACTGAGGCGACTCTGTCAGTGTGCCCACTGAATTTTTTCTTTTTGACAGGACAGGTAGTGTGCCCCACTGAATTGACTCCCCATATTTGTACACTCTCTTTCACTTCTTTTTATATTTTTATTTCACTGAGAGTTGCTGTTCAACTATGAGAATAAAAAACAAGCTAGAAACAAGACATTTTTCACATGGAAACAAGTGATTATGGGTAAAGGGGTATGGATATGGCCCAGTAGTCCCAAGTCTCATATATGGACATTCAATTAGTCGGAGAAGTTTTTTTTTTTTTTTTTTTTTAATTTCAACCAGGGCCCCGTCCAACAGCTGTTGTCTATTCTCATATATGGATATGCGGTATGCCGTCCGCCCCTTCAATTGAAGGATTTACCAAGTAGGTTGACCACTATCAATAGGTCACTAATACATCAGTGCATCAATAAAAAAGAACGGATATTTTGGCTTGATATAGGATATGGTTTTGAAATACATGAATACAAATGAAAAATATAGAAATATTTGTATATATTAGTGAAATGTATACAAATTACATAAAAATATTAATTATATTAAATTAAAAGTTGAATTATCTATGAATAAGAAATAAATACATGAAAAATGTATACTTCAATAGGTTATATGAAGAGAAATATTACTATAAAAAATGCCGGGACTTTAGAGCATTCAAACATTGTACAATAATTATCACTCTTTCAATTTTATAATTATAATTTTCATTTTTTATTAACTTTTGGGAATATTTATTAATTTAATATTTTATTTACATAACAACTATTTTTAAATAATAAATATGTTTTCATTTATAATGTTTTTATTTTATACATAATTGTAAAATAAAACAAATAAATTATTTAATGTAGATAAAATAAGTTATATTTAATTTTCAGTTTTTATTAAATTTTTTGGGAAAATTAAATCTTAAATTATTCGTTTTAGTTTTTATAATTATAATTTTCTGTTTTCCATTAATTTTGTTGGGAAAATTTATTTAATGAAAATAATTTTTATTTATCACATTCTTTTAATTAATTTCCATGCAAAGGATTAAATGCTATTAGAGGTAAAATGAAAAGTCATTACAATTTCTTTCTTACTCTTCCAAATTTAGAACATATTCTTCTTCAATATGACATTGGAATCATTTATTCATCCTTTATTCTTCTCAACAACACACGGCAATAGATTCAATGTGCTGTAAAAGGAAAAACATTTATAGTTCCTTAGTTGATGCAGTTTCTTTTTATGGATATTTTGGTGTGAATTCTGAATGCCTCTATTTAATCCTAATTATGACTTGTGCATTGACCAGAAACTTCTTGTTGTAAAGATCCCACCCGTTTTTAAGTTTATACTGGTTCTTGGAGATTCACAATAGGATTGTGTTTTTAGATTCTTGAAAGTATGAGCCCTCTTCAATTCATTCTGGTTTAATTATTTGAAATTATACATGGCAACAATTCAGGCGAACATGTGAGTCTTCTACTCTTCTTCAATGGCTACACAAAGCAACAGTGGACCCACTGTATCAATATATCATCAATTAATTGTTTCACACTATTGATTTCTTGGCTACTTTTATTTATTTTTGTAATTTTGGTAATTGTGGCTTTTGGTCTTATTATCTTCAAGGAGGAAGAAAAAAGAGTTTGGGTGAATATAAACAAGCCACCAAAGCTAAAGTTGAACTTGTCTGTGATGCTGCTCATATGCATGTGGGTCGTCCGTCCACAATCAAAACAAAGGCATGCCCTAGTTAACCAAGAACTGTCACAGGTTGGGGCATTGGACATATATATTTCTACAAATTAAAATTCATTATTGCAACTTCTATGACCTTTTGTTTATTTAAGACTATATATTATCCCGAACAATGATGACAAAGCATAAACCCATAATTTTGAATTTGGAAGTATGAGCAAGGTAGCATTTGTACTTGATTTTAATGATGATGAGTGATGAATATTGAATTGTCTGAATTAAGGTTTCTTTATCAAAATGCTAATTTCCACTAGGGATAGTTAATTGAAGAAGAAATTAAGATAAATTTCATAAAATGGAAAATGCAGAAAATAAGATATATTGACACTTTTAAGGTAGTATAGATATAGATAGAGATTATAATTTGCTTAAATAAAGAAAATCATGTACTTAATCCGGATTAGATCATTAGATATACTCATATACATTGATAACTACTTAAATCTTCCTTGGTTGATTGGAGAGAGACCTTTTGTAGACTCTGAGTTTACACTGGAACGGTGCTTTGGACTTTGAACTAGACGACACTTTGGAGACTCAATATATATATATTGAAAGGGGGACCGAAGGCACGAAAAGAAAAAGCATGGGGACCTAGCACAATCTATTAGGTTAGGAGTTAGGACTTTTAAGAGTCCCATATGGGGCCGAAGGCTGGAACCCCAGCAGCTTTGCATGTGTTCACAACGTCTCGGCTCCCTTCTGGATTGCTGGTGACAATGACCACCTGAGCTCTCCACCTCCTTGCAGCTTCCACACTCATCTCTGCTACGTTGGGCCGCCCGGAGACAGCTGTGTCATGTACGATTACCTTGTCTTTTGGAAACCCACTCACCATCTCCTTGATCTCCTTCCCGAAATTCTGCTCCACCCCCTTCGCCACCCACACCAAGCATACATCCGCCCTGCACGGCTGTAGCAGGAAGGACAGGAATACGCAGATGCCGGAACCTGTGGCCACCAACACCACTCTCTCGTACATGTTTACGAGATAAGGTAGGCCCGCGAAGTGAAGCTGCCTGACCCACAGGTGGCTTGGTGGGTTTGAAACCAACGACTTTGTGAAGTCGCCTACTGCACCTGCAAGCATCATGTGGTTATCTTTGCCATCCGATATGATGCCGAAGGCGTGCCACTCGGACAAGGGTGATGGGCTAATTCTGCCCAGGATGCCTGCCTTAATTCCTCCCTGGAACTTGATAATCGAGGCATGGCCAGAAGGAGCCGATACCTTGACTGGAACTCGTCTCACAGTAACCCATGGAAGGATAATCAGAAGAGTGATGGCTAATGTGAACCAGAATTCTTGCTCGCTTACCAATCTGGAGCCGCGTACGTTGTAGATTTTAGATTCTGGTTGGTAGGAGAAGATGAGGATGACGAAGGCCCAGAGGAGACCGAGGGCTGTCCAACCGGCAAAGCGATGGATCCTTTCGAAGACGTTATGGTGGAGATGGCGAACAAGGGGGAAGGCAGCCAAGCATGAAAGGCAGAGAAGAGCAAGGATTGTGGAAGCCACGCCTATGATCTCCGGTGATGTGTTTTTTCTGTCCTTAAGAGTGAGCACAAGGGAGTATACGAGCCAGGCCACCGAAGATACACCGCAACCGCTGTGAATTCCACCAAGACATTGGAGGAAGGATGTGGTGGCAGTCCTGAACGGTACAGGTACCCATGATCTCCCTAACAGCTTCACAGCTAGCCAGAAAACCACTCGCAGAAAGGCCTCGGTCCGGCAGAGAATCAAAGCCAGTATGTTCCCAATGGCGAAGAGTGCGGCCTTGCGCCTTGCATAGGGGAAATGCCCAGAGGCTCCAAGGACCAAACCGATCACATTTAGAGCCAAGCACACGGTGAAGAGTCGCTTGTAGACTGTGAATAGGCCTTGATCGAGTAGTATAATTGACAGTCTCGATTCCTGCTTACGTGCAGCCTTGGGTGGTGGTGGTTGTTCAGGTTTACTGTTGGATGAAATGGGAACAGGCTTCTGCTTCTCCAAATCCTCTTTGCTTCCTTCTACAACCACCTCTACTTTGCTGTCATCATCGTTGTGATCCTCATGATCGAGATCACAGAAATGGCTGCTGGTTCGACTCATGGACCTTTGAAGCATATCAGTCGTTGGAAAAACTCTGAAAGAGTTGCCGTGGTTCCAAGGAAGCCAAATCTTGCTGCCATCGCAGTGTTCCTCTTTAGAAAGAGGTGCAAAGGCGAAGGGATCGGTGCTTGGGGGTTTGATCTCGAAAGCAACTCCCCGACAGCTTGAGAACCTACTAATGTTTTCCTTGTTTTCCATGGCGAAGCTTTCTAATTTGTAGAAGAGAAAAGGAGAGAGGGAATCAAAGAAAGGAAGAGCTCGAGAGTTAGCTTGTGTGTTTTCTGGTAAGAGCAAGTTCGGCTTTTATAAGCTAATTGGCTATGGGAAATTGGTAATTAAGTGTAGACTTTCAGACTAAATTAATATATTTTCAGCCATGATTGGTCAATAGGTATATGAGTAGTATATCTTAGTGATGTTCATTATGATCTGCTACTCACATCTGGCGCCTCACTCCTCACTGGCGCTCACACGCACATCTTATCATTTATTGGAAACATCTTCCGTAGTGCATGTGAGGCGCCCATTTGTGAGTAACAGATACTTTCACTAATATATTTTCAACAAAGTTCCCATACTTATCCCAAAAAAATTGACGGGCTGTTGGATGGAGTGGACCAAAAAAATTCCCAAGTGATGGGTTTCTATCGGGTTGTTGGATCAAGTAGCATTAAGGTCGGGTAAGTGATTGATCTTAGGGAAGAATCAATTCAACACTTCATCATGATAAATGAAGACTTTAACTCTGAGTGGACATATTGTTTACTTAGAATCACTATAAAGGTGCATCTTGTAAGAGCAGAAAAAGTTATAATTTATTCTATTAATTTTTTATAAGGCTCCCTTTGGAAAGGATGCAAATACAAACATGCATGATTTATGACAAATGACAGCATTTGTATTTGTAGTTCTATACTGTACATATTTGCATTCTTCCCAAACAGAGTATAAGGCAATTTTTTCAATAGATTAGTTAAATACCTTGAGGAAAATTACTGACAGGACAACCAACAATATAATGGAATCCTTAGGCCCAAGACTTACAAAGGTGGCTAGCTACGTAAATGGTCACTAGGTTTTTCATTTATTTCTGACTAACCCGTTCTAAGTAGATTACTCCTTTGTTTCTCCCAGGATGTAGACCTTTTTTCTGAAATTATTTTCTTTAATTTATAAAAAAGGGCTACTTCCTGGAAGAAGCAAATTAGAACTGGTTAGTGATCAATGGCATTAGAAATGTCCAATGCGTTTCGCTTTCATAAAATCAGCTGAAAGTACAAATTTTCAATGATAAACTAGTAACTGTTGCAAATTAAGTTTAGAAAATAGTATATATATATATATATATAATGAGTATAGGTCTGTTACCCCAAAGAAGAATGCTACCCACAGGACCCATAGGACATTCACTACAGTATACATTAAGCTTATGTTTGGTTTGAAGGAAAAGATAGAGAAAGGCAAAAAACCTATAAAAGATTTGTAAAGATTCTTTTACCATTTCCTTCTTTCCCCTATCTTTTTCTTCAAACCAAACACAACCAAGAGAAATGCCTGATCAGGTAAGACCCGCAGTGTCTTGTGACTTGTCGGTAGCATCATCTTGTGGATAAGTATGGGTAGCTTTATTGTGGGTAGCAGATCCATAATCCCTCAAGAACCCGTATATTGCTGATCCTTTACCGTCCCCATAACGGCCAAGACAGTTCCATTCTAATAAACTAAATGAATTCTCCAGTTCTAAAAAACTAAAAGCATTAATTTTAGACCTCAAAATGCAACCACGCCCAAGTTTCAGTTTCCTTGCAGGGAAGCTTAATCTTCTTTTAGGCAACCCCAGCCTCTACTTAGAACTTACCAACAATTTTATTGCCTAAACTGATATAAAACGGATTTAAAAGCTAATCAAACCGATATAAATTTGTTTCAGTTTGGTTCGATTTCATATTTGAGTTAGAGGATTGATTCGATTTTTCAATTGAAAAACCGGTTAGACTTCCATTTCCAATTGATCAGCTGAACCAAACCGACCAGATGAAGACCCCTAATTAAAACGAAACTTAATTAAATCGAAAATTATTAAGATTCCCAATTCCAGTTGAACAATACCGAAAAACACATAATCAATTCAAAACAAAGCATATTAGGGATGGCGGAACGTTGAAAATAAAGGGTCTTAATGATATCATTCTTTTTCTACTCTTTCACTTTTAAAACTAGAATAGAAAGATCAAATTTTGTCAAGTTCAGTTTGTTGTCCTTCCTCACAAACCCGAATTTAGCATTCCTCTCTCGAGTCTTGACAAAGACGCCCGACTATTGTTACAACTTCTGTCTGAGATTAATTAATGAGAAAAAAAAAAAAAAGGAACTAGACTTGGAATAAGAGCCAGAATTTGTGGCCCTTCACCCCCTTACTCGCTTTGTATCCACGGTTGTGCGTGTGCCAGAGTAATGACGGAATGCGGCGAGCACTCGTTTTTGTCCTTCAAAGGTCACACGCTTACGCGTATGTACCAAGTAGTGCTGCTGAATCCCTTGGACCGACTCCGAATCCTGTCTAGATGGTGGGAACCAGAGGATAGCCGACCAACCATCATCTGTACCCCTCGAAAGCTTCGTAAACTCATTGGGTCGGGCTCCCTTTGATATAACTTTATCCGATCCGATAGCTAATTGGCTCTGGATCACTTTCGATCCGTTTATTGCAACTTAAAAACATCAGTAGTGCAGTACTGGAATGAAAATTCATCTCATCATCATTATCATCTAAATTTCTCTCAACTATATACAATATAGGTTGATCGCCTTTTAATTCTTTCTCATGCCATATATATTACTAAATTATATATGACTAGTGCTTAAATCATTTTTCATTATTTTGACCCATATCTTTTTTGAATAATTTATTATAATATATTAAGCTTCCTAACATCTCTACGTACCAAATAAATCTTAATGCAGCTACATAATTAATTATTGATCTTCTCAAGCATTGTATTCATAAACTGAAAATCAATGCAAGCCACATATATTGTATGAAATAGAAACCTATATCTTAGTGTTTTATGGTTTAATAGCTTTTACTATTTTCATACATAATTGTTCATTAAGAATCATTTATATATAAAATTTTTTCTATGTGCTTAATTGTTTAATTAATTACATTAATTAACAGCAGACATACATATGTATGACCATCATAGTTATGAGATGATAATGGTTCTTGGTAAATGCATCTCCATTCACCAAATTAAATAATGTGGCTTCCACTAAGATGGGAACATCCAATTAATATATGGCATATATGTGAAATGCTAAGAACAAAAGTAGGGGATACACACATTCACATATAAAGATAAACACACATACATAGGTATACATATGAAATGGAAACTGAAACCAGAATATTATACTATATGAAATGGATATCCATTTCTGGTTATTAATATAAGAACAAAGCGAAATGAGTTTATTTCTTGAAATGCTGCATGGCTTTATTCCAATTAATGTACTGTAGTCAAAAGAGTATTGAACGCCATTGGCTAGGTGTGTCTGTTTGCGTGGTCAATACTGCCCATTACACAAAGTCTTCTTCTCAGTGGCAAGCGACAAGTCAAGGATTCAGTAAGAGAGAAACTAATAATGGACGACAATAGAAGATTTCCACTTCCTACCATTCACTTCTTGTGACACAACATTCTACCTCCACCTAGTAAAAAGTCCAAACAAAGTCTTAAATGGCGCTAAAATGATTCCATTGAATCCGAGTAACTCTATAGATCAGTCTGAATGAGGCATGAGAAGAAACTGGCCGGGAACTGGGAAGTTGTAATTTCAGGGTATTTGCATGTTTTCTGCTTTCATGAAATCTCATTTTCATTAATGCCCCAAGCCATTAAATCAGGGAAGTTGTTGGTTTTTGCTTTTTGGTTCAACCAATCATTAGGGGTGTCAATTGGATTGGATTTGGTCCAATCCGATCCAGTCTAATGTGAGTCTATTACAAATGGACTAGATCCAATCCAATGAATGTTTTGGATCAATTTGGACCGATTCAATCCATGTCTGGACCATCCAATTTATTCAAATTCATTTTGATTTATATTGGTTTCAACTCCAGCCCGGTTCATTATTGACACATATATTCTTTCTTACATCAATGGACCATATATTAACTTAATCCAATTTAATTTAATATAAAATTTAATCTAATAAATATTTTAGACCGAATTAGTCAAATCCAATGTCTTGTTAATCTATGCAATCCGCCCAAATTAATTTTGGACTAGACGGGTCATCCAAAACCGATCTATTGACATCCTTACCAACCATGCATTCTAATCCGATTATCAGACCGTAGTATAGGTACTGTTTAGATTTGTGTGGAATATTAATGGATCAAATCCTGATCTCTGATAATCACCGTGTTTCCCCACCCACCAATTGTCACAGTTATAAAAAAGATAAAATAACATTCGAAATAAGAGAAATAATTTTAGAAAAAAAAAGATATACAAGACAACCATTCTATTGGGGATTGGGTTGTAAAAACTAAAAATGGAATTATAACCTCAACCATCCCATCGTTCAAGAGTAATCTAAATTTTTTGTGAAGACACGGATCCCTATGTCCTTCACACCTTTTACATTGACTCGGTCAATTAATTCACCTAAAGAGGGATAGAGTATATAGTATATATACATATGCAAAAGATATCAACAAATCACAAACAGATTTTAAAACAAAATTTACAGACATTTGCAGCTTTTTAATTAACTTGGAGAAATAATGTCGAGTAGTCAGCAGATGATGCGAGAGTCCGAGTATGAAGATCAGAAGATGACAAATCAAAAGGAAACTGTGGAAAGGCTACCATTAGAGAGCAGCCCCTATGTAAGGTACTCTGATTTGGAGGACTACAAGCGTCAAGCCTATGGAACTCAAGGACACCTTGATCCCAAACAAGGCCTTGGTGGAGGATCCACCGATGCTCCGACGCTCGGTGGTGGTGGTGGTGGTGGACTCTCTGAGGAGCAGACTGATGCCAATCGTGGAAAACCATGATTGAAACGATACATTGAACACAATTGTATTTTGATGTCATGTACTTTAGTTTTTTTTTTTTTTCTATTTCTTTTCTTTGTATGCTTTTGTTATTATCTCTAACTAAATCGTATATTCTGTTAGAGAGGGAAACATTTTTTGCTTCAAGGAAAAGTCTTGTGGTAAATTATGTACTATGTATTAATTATCCTAATTATAAAAGAAATGTTTTCCTCAAATCTTT